CCCGTAGGTGAAACTAGACCTGCATCTCTCACCGTATACCAAAATCAACTCAAAATGGATTAAAGACTTAAATGAAACTATAAAACTTCTAGAAGAAAACATAGGGCAAACACTTCAGGATGTAGGACTGAGCAAAAACTTTATGAATAATAAATTCAGAAGCACAGAGAACAAAAGCAAAAATTAACAAATGGGATTATATCAAACTAAAAAGCTTCTGTATGACAGAGGAAATAATCAATAGAGTGAAAAGACAACCTGCAGAATGGGAGAAAATATTTGCAAACTATACATCCTACATGGGAGTAATATCCAGAATATACAAAGAACTCAGACAACTCAATAGTAAAAAACCAAATAATCCAATTAAAATATGGACAAGCAACCAAACAGACATTTTTCAAAAGAAGGCATACAAATGGCCAACAGGCACATGAAAAAATGCTCAACACTGCTAATCATCAGAGATATGCAAATTGAAACCACAATGAGATATCATCTCACCCCAGTTAAAATAGCTATTATCAAAAAGATAGAAAATAAGAGTTGGAACGAACCTAAATGTCCTTCCACAGATGACTGGATAAAGAAAACATGACATATATACACAATGGATACTACTAAGCCATAAAAAAGGATGAATGTCTGCCATTTGCAGCAGCATGGATGAGCTTGGAGAAAATTATAAGTGAAATAAGCCAGGCACAGAGAGAAATACCACGTGCTTTCACTCATATATGGGAGCTAAAAAGTTGATCTCATAGAAGTAGAGAGTAGAATAGTGGGTACTAGAGACTGGTGGGTGAAGGGGAGAGGGGGAGAGGGGTAGTCAGTGGATACAAAACATTAGAGAGATAGGAAGAATGGGATCCAGTGTTCTATAGCAGTATAGGGAGACTACAGTTAACAAAGTACTGTGTACCTTTGAATAGCTAGTCAAGATGATGCCGAATGTTCCTAACACAATGTGACAAATGTTTGAGGTGATGGATATACTAAGCACCCTGATAAGATCATTGTACACAGTATGAATGCACCCAAATATCACATTTTACTCCATAAATATATACAATTATCATAGGTCAATTAAGAAAAATAAATTAAGAAGAAATAGAGAGTAGAATAGTGGTTACCAGAGGCAGGGAAAGGGAATGGAGATGGGGGGACAGGGAAAGGTTGGTACACCAGTACAAAGCTACAAAGTTACAGTTAGATAGGAAGAGTAAGTTCTGGTGCCCTGGGGTGACAATAGCTAATAATATCATATTATATATTTCAAGATGGCCAGAAGAGAGGATCTTGAATGTTATAACCACAAAGAAATGATGAATGTTTAGGTGATAGTTGATGCTAACTATTCTGATTAGATCACTGTACAATATATGCATGTATTGAAACAACAAGCTATACCCCATAAACATGTACAATGAAAAAAATAAATTAAAATTTTAAAAAAGAAAAGAATCAGCTTGGAAAATTAAAAAAACAAGTCATGTGTATTGTGACCCCAGTTATGCAAAATTGAATAAATGGATATTAAATGAGAATGGATATATACAGAAGGGGACTAAGAAAAGGGTAAAATAATAATAATAATGGTAGTTAACTTAGTGAAACATCAGGTTTTTATTTTTTTCTGTTGAAGGATAACTTTTTAAAAGGTAAAATCATGACCTTCATACAAATATAAAATGAACAAATGCCAAAAATTCTATTAACTCATTAATGAATGAGAGGAACCACTAAGATATTACAATTGATCAAAGGTAAAATCAAAGAACCACACATATACAGGCCATAGAAACACTAAAATAAATTTTCCTAATAGATACAAAGCTGATTTCTTCCACAGTGAAGGAAGAAAAGGAATTGAAACTCCTCCAGATAAAATTTATTTACGTTTATGGTTAGGCATCATTTGCATTGTTCTTAGTTATCTAAAACTCACAGAGTTGTAAATAGCTCAAAGACAACAAAATGTGCAGAGGCCCCACAGAATCAGGTCACCTAGAGGAGTGTGCTAGACCAAGCCTAGTCTTGTAATGAAGACACCCAGTACATTGCAAAATCAGGTTCGTTTTGAAGTCTTTTGCAACTTTTCCCTAAATATCTAAAAATTTTTACAATGAACATGTACTCTTTTTTAAAGGCATGCATCCTTTTTGAAAAAAAAACCCACAATATGAGAAGCTCCTTTTCCTAAGTCAACTTAGGTATCGCCTCCCCCAGGATATTTTATCTAACCACCCCCACCCCAAGATTAAGTTAGGTGCCCTTTCCTTCCCTGTGCTCCCATAAAACTGTGTTAATCATGTTCCTCCTACAATGTATTATAATTATTTATTTTTCTGCAGGCCTAGCTCAGACTGTGAGTCTCTTGAGCACCAAAATTATGAGTCATCTTTGTATTCTGAGTGCCCAGAACATGGGAGGTTCCCAGTAAACGTTCAGTGAGTGAATGAAGAAACTAGTGCACTCTCAGGTTCTGTATCTGTTTCCAAGTAAAGCAATGTGTGATAGGAACAGAGAAGCAGAGAGAAAAGAGAGAGAGAGAGAGATGCTTAGCTTTTGCTTCTCCCAAGCAGATCTTCTTTGTCAAAAAGACTGAGAAATGGTTTTGGGAAAGGAGACAGAATGATTCTGTCCTTGAACAAGATGAAGCCCCAGAATTTAAGAATTTAAAACCTAAGAATAAACCTCCTGGAGTGACATTGACAAAAAGATAAGTGGGAAGAGAAGGAAACCTTACATTCTATTTTGAATCCTTGGCTAGAAGGAAGGTAAGAAACCATAATGAATAGAAATTGGGTAGGAATAATGAGTATGAATTGTAGGAGCTAAATTTCTGACAAAAAAGATTATGAATGTTTGCTTCAAAGTTTGATTCAGTGTTTAAAGTTTGCTTCAAACGCATTTATCTGCTTTGATATTTGCCTGAGATTTACTAAGTTTGAATTGCTTAAATAAGGGAATTGGCTTTATGTTAATAAGATAAGTACCTAGCTATGGATTTGTGGAGATTCAAACAGAGGGCTAGTACCCTAAATAACAGGAAAGCACAGGTTTACAGTGTACACAAAGCCTGGTGCCACCCAAAGCCTAAGCACTTAAAAATCAAGAATGGCTACTTTACAATAAATGTTTTGAGACCAGAGCTAGATTGACACAACTGAGAGCACAGGGAAAAAGTCTGACACGCTGTGACTAAGGAATGTGACCCATGGGTCCAGTGAGGCTTCTAAGAAACTCGTATTACTCCAGCCAAATTTTTTTTCAGTCATTTATTCATTCATTCAACAAATACCTATTAAGGAATACTAGGTGCTGGCCACCCTGCTAAAAGTGATAAATGCAACAGCTGCTTCTGGTGAGTGAGATAAATGTTAGAAGAGGGGTAAGCACAGGGGGCCACTAGGTCATATGAAGGAAACAATAAATCAGCTTGGGAGAGGGGGTCAGAAAGGACTCCTCTCATGTGCTGAAAATGAAGATAAGTCTGGAAGAAGAGGCCAAGGGATGAAAACCAGCCAGAGCAGAGCCCTGCAAGCAGGGAGTGAGGTGTATCCCAAGGCTTGAGGCCAGAGACACACAGGGGATAAAATGATAAAACACATCATCCTTAAGCAGCCATGAAATGACTTGTAATTTAGACACTTTACAGTTTACAGAGCCCTTTCATCTTTTAATTTATTTTGTCTTCTCATAACAAACCTTCAAAGTAGATGTTCATTATCCTAGGGAATGTCCATTAATAAATATTTATTGAATCGATGTGCATATATGTCAGGGTTTGATTCCAGGTAACAGAAACCACTCCAGTTAGTTTAAAGAGAAGAGACTTAATACAGGAAATTCTTTTTTTTTTTTAATTTATTTTTTATTTTTATTTTTATTTTTATTTTTTTTAATTTTAATTTTGTCAATATACAATGTATATGATTATTATGGCCCATCACCGGCACCTCCCGCCCTAATACAGGAAATTCTACATTTGTAAAACCCTTGGAAGGGCTAGAGGGGCAGGCTCTAGGCTAAGTTTCTAGGAATGATTCCCAGACCACCCTGTTCTAGCCCAACAAGGGAGATGTTTTTCATCTCCCTACTTACAGGAAGTGCTTACTGGCGGGCTGTGATTGCCTTTCCAGAGGCCTCCCTCCCTGGACCAAGTTGATGAAGAAGACCAAACAGAAACCTCTATGTTTAGAGACTTGTGGCTTCACTCTCCTTGAGAAGCACCAGCAGAAAGGCCAATTGTACGGTCAAACTGGCCAACAAAGTTGCCACGATCACAGGATCCACGAAAAGGTGAGACCTACTCTTTGGGAACTGGGAACTGTGGGTGTCTCTGGATTTTGTGGAGCTTTCTTGTCTTAGCCTTATCCCCACAAAGCAAAGCCTGCTAGGCTTAAGGGCTAGTAGTTTTTTGGGAATGTGACCCTAGAGAGAACAGCGAGGAAAGGAGACAAAGGCAGTGGGATGTTGTGGAGTTGGCCCACTACAGGCCCTTGGGTGACAGGTTCATCTCATCACTGGGTGATGGGTGCACCTCAGAGGCATCCATCAGGGAAGACAAGGGAATTCTTCCATTGCTCGCTTCTTCCACAGTCAAGAGTTGCCCTACATGGGTTAATGCCCAACTTCCACATGCCTGTGAGCACTCAGTGGTTTCACAGGCCCGAGGCAAGGAGCTCTCAGGCTGCAACTGCAAAGCTAACCAAAGCATTGAGGAACTGAGAATGGTTGTTACAGTAGCAGTTCCAGTGGGAGGTGAGGCCATCAAGATCTGATGTGGTACAGAGGAGCTCCAACAGACCCGTGCTGACATATTCCCTGCTTACCTCCTCTGGTCCTCTGACCATCCAGAAGTATGGCATGCAGTTAGCTGCTCTGGGTTAGTGGAGAGAATTCATTTGGTACCACAAGGCAGAAATGCAGCAAGGAAGAAAGGGCTGACTCAGTTCAAGGCTGAATTGTCACCTCCCCTCCATCTCTGCCTGCAGGACTGGCCTCACCATTTCCTGGCATCTGGCCCAGTATGGCACCCATGTAGTCACCAGCAGCAGAATGTGGACCGGGCCATGGCCGTGCTGCAGGAGGAGGGGCTGAGCGTGACAGGCACCAAGTGCCACGTGGAGAAGGCTGAGGACCAGGAGTGGCTGGTGGCCAAGGCGAGGGGCACAGAAGGAAGTACAGACAGGGATACAGGGATTCTGCTGCTGTGACCCGCACTAGGGGAGAGATCTAAAGGCATCATCACATGAATCAAGTCAACTATGTGTCACTCAACCCCTGAACAGACCTGGGCCGAAGAATGACATGCTCGGGAGGGCAGAAATTGGGGTAGGGAGCATGCTGGTGGGGAAGGAGGAGTCTGCTTACAGCCACCAGCGTGTGCCCAGTGTCAGCATGTCCTCCTGGAAGACCCCTGAGGAGGGATCTGAGGGAGACAGACACATCATAGAGATTTTGTAGGTGACAGTAAGACTTCAGGAAACAGTGCAGGTAAGAGATGTGCTTGGAGACTGGTAGCCCCAGTGCCTGGGACTAGAAGGAGGACATGAAAGGGTACCTGGGGTGATACTCCACCCCTTTTAGTCCAGAAGCTCAGTGCCTAGTTCCTGAAAGAGAAGAGAGGGATCTCCATCCTCACTTGGTGGTGTTGTCCTCCTGTGCTCTGGATTTGACCCAGACACAGCCCAGGGGCAGCTAACAGGAATCCCCACCTCCCAAATGCAGCAGAAATCTTCTTTTGCTCCCTGACCCTAGTCCTCAATGTCCCCTTCTTGCCTGCAGGCCCTGGAGTGCTGTGGGGGTACCGACTTCCTCGTGTGCGTGGCAGGGTTCAATCCCTTGGCGGAGAGCACTCAGGGTGCCAGTGAACAGGTCTGGGACAAGGTGAGGTCTGGCTGCACCTCATCTTCACCGCCTGGGGAAGCCTCTCTCCATCTCGGCTCACACACCCAGGGCTGGCCCTCACTCCCACTCATCCATCCTCCCATCACAGACTCATTGGCACAGAGCGACACTGGATGCCTGGGTTCTTTAAGCCTCAGTTTCCCTATCTGGGAGACTGAGGTAAGAGTGTCTAAATTACAGTTCCGATCCCCACTGTTCAGGAGCTCCCAGTCTGCAGGGAGTGTCCACTGTAAAACCAAATAGTCACAAAAAACGTGGGGCACAGAGGGGAATGACTCCCTTTCTTGCCCAGGGATGCTTAATCTCCTGAAATCCAGTTTATCAGTTTGCTAGGGCTGCCATAATGTAGTACCACCAACTGGGTAGATTAAACAACAGAAATTTATTGTCTCATGTTTCTTGAGGCTAGAAGTCTGAGATCAAGGTGTCAGCAAGGTTGGTTCCTTCTGAGGGCTGTAGGGGAGAATCTGTTCCATGACTCTCACTTTGTTTCTGGTGGTTTGCTGCCAATATTTGGTATTCCTTGGCTTATAGAAGCATCAGACCAATCTGCCTTCATCTTCGTATGGCATTCTCCCTGTGCATGTTTTTCTCCATGTTTCCCCTTTTCATGAGGACACCAGCCAAACTGGATTAAGCACCCACCCTATTCCAGTATGACTTCATCTTAACCACATCTGCAATGACCCTATTGTCAAATAAGGTCACTTTCTGAGATACTGGGGGTTAGGATATCAACATATGGATTTAGGGGGTACACAATTCAACCAGTCTTCCCTAGACCCAGTTAGCTAGTGCCTTCTCAGCCCGAGATGGAATATTGTCCTCAGACTGGTGCCCTTGGAGACATGGGGTGATATCCTGCAGATGCTGAGGTCTTCCGCCTGCAGAGTCCTCAGCCTGATCCCTTTATTCCTGTGTCTTCAGGCACCCCCCTTCCATGCGTGCCCAGGAAAGCCAACTCTCTGACCACTTCCCTTTGCCAGAAGCCGTCATGCCAACATTCTAATGTGGTATATTTCCTAGCACAGTGAGAACACTGGACTGACTGTGTCCCCCTCCCCCACCCTTCCTTTTTTCTGATCTCAGGTCTTGAACGTGAAGGCCCCGGCCCTGCGCTGAGCCAGGTGCTGCCTCACATGGAGAACAGGGGGTGAAGGTAGGGAAGGGGGCAGAGAGGGAGTCATCGCTGTCAAACAGGGAGCAGGAGAACTAGAAAGAGGGAGCTGGATTTGAGTTAGATCTTCTCACTGGGAAACAGGCCGGTAATACAACAGTGAAAGTTTGACTTTCAGGCTTCTGGGTTAGCTAAAAAAAACAAAAAAATTCTATCCATTAGTGTTATTCTTTCGTATCTAGAGTGCCCAGGGAGTCTGGTAAGGGCTCTACTGGAAGGAGAACGAGGGATCCGCAGACAGAAAGGCCCAGAGTGCCCACAACTGTCCTGGAATCAGAGAAATGGAAGTGGCCTCTCTTGAGCTGCAGAAGCTCAGGTCACAAGAGTCCAGGTTGACAACTCTGTCATCCCACAACCTGCCTGTAACCAGACCAGACTGGTTTCCCAGTCCCACTCAACTCTTATACCTCCTGCTTCCTAATTCTTATACTGGCCTTGTCCCCTCCCCACCTACACACGTTCCCCCAGCCCCTGCCAGTCAATCCCCAAATTGGAAAGCCTGCTTCCTTGCCTCTCCCCACAGCCCGTGGTAGAGGCCTGCCTGACCAGCTCCATCCTCACCTGGGGGATGGGCCCACAGCTGTCTTGTGCTGTTCTGACTTGCCTCTGCTCTCAGTGACTTGGGCTGCTCCCAGAGGTTCTCCAGGAGCCCAGCATTTGTCCTGTGGCAGGAACCGTCTGGCTGTGCTCCAGGGAGCTCCTTCTCACTCACTGGATTTCAGGCCCAATCATTAGAAGCTTTTCATTTTCCGGCCACTACAGGAACACAGCATCTCCTGAGAAGCCATCCCCATTCCAGTCCTCCCGCTTAGGCCTGTCTTCTTACTGTTCCCAAATTCATTTCCCTGGCCATATCCCAGCCCCTCAGGCCGCTCCTGCTGCCTAGCCGTGCCTCCTCTGAAGGTCTGAGCCACCTGGTTATCTCCACCAGCATTGCCCTTATGCCCTCCTTGAATGGTCAGTGGAGGTTTTCTCAACCTCAGGTAAAGCGCTTTGCAGATGTATCTTTAAGACCGCCCTTCCAGCTGGACTGCTTTCCTTCAGTTCCTCCCATATGGATATTCTGGAGGAGCCATGGAATTCTGCAAGCACATACTGGACACCTCATTATAGGTGGGCTTCTTCTCTGACCTGTGTAATCATCTGTGAAACACAACTAGGACTTCTAACTAATAATGACTTCCAAAGCCCCTTCCAGCCCTAACAGGCATGATGTGGTATGAGATTGAACCATATTTTCAAAAATACCATTTTGTACATAAAAATGGCCAAATACAGTAATTTATGTGGTTCAACACAATACAATGGTTTTTAAACTGTTTGTAGTAACAGAACCCTTTTATTAAAGAATACCTGCCACAGGAACCCAATATAGAAAACAGACAAGAGCAGAGATGTCCAGGTTGAAATGTGGATTGTGGGCACAGGGCTCAACCCCTTGGTCTCTGCCTAATTCCCCGTTGTTGGTCTTGAGCACCTCTGCAGAGTCTGGCCTCACAAAACTGATGGTAAACTCCTAGCATAATGAAGTCAGCATGGGCTTTAGAAGCAGAGAGACCTGTCTTTAGATCCTTGCTCTGACACAACTACTCATTCTTAGCAATTAAGCTTTCTGAGCCTTCATTTCCTTATCTATTAAGTAGGAATAATAATGCTTAGCAGACCTGTTGTGAATATGACTTGACATGATAAAATATATCAGTTACCAAGCAACATGTACATAGTAGAAACTATACATATATTTACTAAATAATAAACTTTATTTGAAAATGAATATTATCTAGCCTATAGATTATCATATAAGTAGTATAAATATAATTTAATAATAATTAAATTGGCCTTAATATTTATAATAAACATTATTGATATTATAATTATTACTACTCTTATTAGTTATACGATCTGAGCAAGTAAAACGTTGCTTTCTCCAACCTTGTGAACAAGGCAGGAGTTCACGAAGGAAGGTCCATTTAAATTGTTTCCATTCATCCTTATCTACCTGTCAGAATCCTAACTATTCTTTACAATCCAATTTAAATGGAGCTTCCCATATGCTGAAAGAAAATAACTATCAACCTAGAATTCATACCTATGAAATACATCTTTCAAAAATTAAGGCAAAATTATAATGCCCTCAGACAAACAAAAACAGTTTGCTACCAGAAGACCTTCACTTAAAGGAAATTCTAAATGGTGTACTTTAGGCAGAAGGGAAAAAAATAATCCCATATGGAAAATCTAGGATAAAAGTAAGAATGAAAAATACAGAATATAATATGTGAACAAATTTAACCACTTATAATCACTTATTTGCTTATAAAAAGCAATAATGGTGTTTCGTGGGGCTAAAAAATTTTAAATATGCAAAAAATAATGTTCAAATCAGGAAGTTAGAAATGGAGTTAAAGTGTAAGATTTTCATGTTGTTTGAGAGAAGGTAAAAATATTAATCTTAATTTCGTAAATTAAACAGGTCTGTTTTACTTTCCAGGGTAACAGCTACGAGACTGGCAACAGAGTATGCAGTATATTTTCAAAGTAATAGAGAGGGAAGTGGAAACAGAAAATATAATCCAAAACAAAGCAAGAAGGGCCAGGAAACAAAACAAAGAACTGGGGGAATAAAAAATAAATTAAAAAGTACAAAATTGGATGTTAGACACTAATCCTAGTATATCAGCAATTGCAGTTAAAATATAAAGATTGTAGGGCCGGCCCATGGCTCACTGGGGAGAGTGTGGTGCTGATAACACCAAGGCCATGGGTTGAGATCCCCTTGTTGGTCATCTTTATAAATATATATATATATATATACACACACACAAAGATTGTCAAGCTAGAATTTGTAATCAGAAACAAAATCCAAACATAATTGAAGACTTAAGAGAATATGGAGATAAATCCCAGGCCCAGGCCTCTCTCTGCCACTCGCACAGCCTGCCTCCCCTCTTCCAGTAGGCTCCACTCTCAGTCACACCCAGGATGACTGGCTTCAGCTCACACACTACCCCATCCTTATCTTCCCAGGCAAGGTTCAGTGGTCCCGGTCTCCTCATTTGCAGCCTACACTCTACCTGCTGTTAAGTATGATTGTCTGTGGTGAGGGTAAGAAGAAACTCTCTCTCATTTCAACTGGAAAAGTGGGTGCATGAAAACATCCAAGGTTTGACAATTGCTCCCTCAGGAAAACTCACATGCAAAAGTGATCATTGTATGTCACAGATCTTGCCTTTAACATAAATGCACTTAGTGGGAGCCTCCTGCTTCCTCTTTTGGGCATCGTCTCCCAGAGTTGATGATCTGGAGGTGTTATTGGGATGGATTTCCTGAGCAAAACCCAGAAAATCCAAGGTCTCTCCCTTGTCCTCAGTTCTAGCCTATTAATCTATTTCCCTTTCTGTCCACAGAGGATAGGGTCTACAGTGTTAGTAAAACAGCAGTGCTGGGCCTCACCAAGACCCTGGCAGTGAAATTGGCACCAAAGAACATCCAGATGAACTGCCTCATACAAGGAGCCACCAACACAGACTTCGGCCAAATGGCAGCTTGTGTTCTACCCTCACTGAGCAGCAGGGTGCTTCTCCCTTCCAGGCCATGCCCCACAGAGACCTGGATTCTCAAACCTGGACCTGTGGACTCTTGTCCTGATGCTCTGGTCCACAGCCTTTGGGATCAGCAGCAGAATTAGAATCAGTTCTCTGTCGGGCCACAAAGACCACAGGCCAGCATGATGTAGAGCCCATGGGACTCCTTCTGTATGAGCAGCACTAACCTTTTAACCTTTCCTATAGCTCATCGAGGACTCAGCCTTATGGGACCATCTGAAGGAACTCTATGGGATACAGAGGTTGGTTGTGGTGAGGCAGTGTCCATTGTGGATCTGCCTTAACATGATCTCAGAATCTTTACGATGGATAAAAGATCACACACCACCCCTCTGCGGGCTGTTACCCATTTCTGGGGTCTGACAACATGCTCAGGCCTGGGGTGACCTCTGCAGGTCCCTGTGGAGCCCACATATCTTCACTTGCAGACCTTTGCTCCTCCCATGGGGGGTCTTGATTTCACAGTGTCCCACGGGAGCCCAGAGCTCATGGGGAAGGTGTCATCAGACTCACCCCCCACCTCCTCTTTCCATGCAGACTGGGGCGACCTGAGGACTGTGCAGGACTTGCGTCTTTCCTGTACTCTCCAGATGCCAGCTACATCACTGGGGAGAACATTGTGGTGGCCAGCTATTCCTCTCACCTCTGAGGGGTGTAAGCTCAGAGCTCGGGCTTGCCTCTCCATGTGGGAGCCCTGTGTGGCCCTGGGGCCACCATGCTGCAACACCTTATTAACAATGAGCCTGTGCCCCACTTTAATTTCAAAACCTTCACTGCCAGAAATAATAAAGGACAGCAGAAAAGAGAGCTTATGGTATGCAACTATTGTTAAAACCAGCTAAAATAATGTCGGCTGTGCCAGGAAACAAAATGTGTGCTTGAGAGTCTTGGGAAAAAGAAAGGAGCTATAGTTAGGGAGAAAGCCGAAAGGAAGGAGAAGACAATGGCTTTTTGAGCACGTGACTAAATGCTTTCACATGGATGTCTACTAAATATCTGTGTGAGCCTGATATTTTAATCTCTAATTTTACAGCTGAGGAAGCCAAGACTTGGAGGGATGTAAGGAAATCTCTGAGGACAACACCTAGTCCAGGAACAGGTACTGAACCCCGGTCTCTTTGTACAACAAAGAGGGATCAGCACAGAACCCTTGTCTGAGGGGAAAGACCAGCCCCCAGGGTCCTCATTTTTCCTTCAGATCCCTGTCCGACAGGTTAGATCTGGTCTACCTGACTTCACATAACTCAGCCTTCCACGGATATATGTGCCAGCGCAGTAACTATTTCTCTAATTTTACAGCTGAGGAAGCCAAGACTTGGAGGGATGTAAGGAAATCTCTGAGGACAACACCTAGTCCAGGAACAGGTACTGAACCCCGGTCTCTTTGTACAACAAAGAGGGATCAGCACAGAACCCTTGTCTGAGGGGAAAGACCAGCCCCCAGGGTCCTCATTTTTCCTTCAGATCCCTGTCCGACAGGTTAGATCTGGTCTACCTGACTTCACATAACTCAGCCTTCCACGGATATATGTGCCAGCGCAGTAACTATTATCTCTCACTTGATGAATTTAGCCCCCTGGCACCTGAATGTCAGAGACAGTGGCAGGCCCTGTGCGTGCCCCTCCCGCGTCCCCTTGGCCCACAATGGAGTCACAAGCACCTTCAGTGGACAATTCCCATACACATCGAGGGCTTCCTATCTCAAGCCCCTGAGTCACCCTCCCTGAGGGCTTTCTCTGGCCACAGTGGTGTCTCTGCACATGGGGGAGTTAGTGCCTGCACAGTAGCCCACACCCATGAGGATGGGAGATGGGGAATCAACACCCCACTGCTTGCTCCTTGTGGAACAATGCTGGGGTGTGGTATACACAACTTCTAAGAGGATGCCCAGCAGTGGGCACTCGCCCACAGTGATAACCGCTCTCAAACACACCCTTAATTGTCTTTCCTTCCTTCCCTGTCTCCTTCTCCACTCCCTATTTGTTCTTCCCTGGTTCACCTCCCAAGGAAGCTACTTACATCTAAATTTTGGTCTCAGGGTCTGCTTTTGGGGCATTCCAAACTAAGAGAGTGACAAAACTTTTCATCTCACATTTACAAATAAAAAGCTAAAAGTGCAAAGGTCTCACCACAGCAACACAGTGGCTGAAACTCATTCATCCTGAAGAATAGTAAGTCAATTATTTACAATAAGCACATAATAAATGGAATCAGATTCTTTCTTTTTGATAGGTACAAAGAGTTAGAAATCAGAACTGTGTTGTTGCTTAAAGTTGAAGAAAGTCAGTATTATGTTTGAAAAGAGGTGAAGTGGAAATGCTGGAAAAGACTAACATCAGACCCCTCCCAAGGCTACCAAGAAAGGAGATAGCAAGCAACACGGCACTGAGTACCTAAAGCTAAGGAGGAAGTAACCTAGAGAGGTGGCACAGAGCATGGCAGAGAAGGCAGAGGGAGGAAGGCCAGGAACCCTGAAGATCGACTACGCAGCCTTTGCATCCTTTCTGAATCTCTTTCTTCATTTGTCCTTGGATTCACATAAGATTCTTGGAGGTACCTGCAGCCTATGAAACTATAGACACATACTGGGACTTTGGTTCACTGTTGTTTGGTTCTGACATGCTTAACAGAGCAATGTTTCAGTCTTTTGAATATTTTCTTTCCATTCTGGACTGTTTTGTCCTAAAGAAGTTTTGTTCCAGGAGAGTAGTTTAGGAGATATCATTGCATCTACAGTTAACCAAGAAAAGAGCAATTTGTTTCAGGAATACAGAGTATGCACAGATTTGACAGGTTATAAGTATATGGGCTCATACTTTTCTGCTAGCATAACACTGCTTAAAGGCATTGTTGGTTAGTTTCATCCAGTTCTAACCACTTCTATCTTCTGGCTCTTGCTCTGATCTGATTCTTGAGATAGCTTTGACCTTTTCTGCATGTTTACCCTTATATTTACTTAAGAACAAGAAACCCTAAATGAAGAATCAGAGAATCTCAGGCATGGAAGTGGCTTTAGTTCCTCTACTTGGACCCCTGTCTGAGGTTTATTCCCTCTGCAACTTTACAGCAAAGTAGACCTCATCCTCTCTTGAAAAGCTCTAGTGGCATGGGGAATCCCCTCTACGCATGGCAATCTACTTCCTCCTTATGTACTTGAGAAGACCCTTTTAAAAGGAGCAGAAACCTGTCTCTCTTTATAGTTTCTACCCATTATTCTTAGATGCATCCCTGGGACTTGCATCGTTGAGTACTAGTGAGAAAGTCAATTTTCTCCTCTCCATGACAGCCCTTCAAACCATAAAACAGGTCGTGTTATCTCCCTTCACCTTGGTGTTACAAGTTGGCACTCTAACCAGTAAGCTAACCAGCCAGCCCTCCCAATCACTTTTGGGCATCGGACAAATAACATCTTCCCAGAGTCACTTTATTCATTTTCTCAATTTTATGTAAAGTGCCTTACGAAAATAATTTCAAGTCCCTCCACCACCTCCCACCCACACCACAGCAGTGTGCAGCTCCCCAACTGGTCCCGAATACAAATTTCAGAGCTACTACTAAGGACAGATTGCCAGGACATTTACTAGGTTCTCCATATAATCATTACTAATAAAGAGAAATTATTGAATGCTTAATATGTGCCAAACCCATTATATCATTTAATCCTCAATTTTATAAATGAGAAAAAGAAAATTGGGATGTAAAGTTTCCCAAAGTCACCCGCAAAGTTAGCAATAGAGAGATTTGGACCCAATCCACCAATTTCAATAGCCACTATTTTCCCACCCCTGGAAATTCTTGGAGGAGAATGATCCAGAGAAAGGAGATTCCCCAGGTAAAATGAGTTCATGCTATTCTGGGTGTGTGGGGACACAGTGTGGGTCACATTGCTTAGAGCATAAGCTTATGAAACTAGACATGACAGTTATATAAACCTATATGTGCTGTTTGGGGCTGGTATGTCTGCTTTCCAAACCCTGGGCACCCCATGTGTAGATACAACCGTGTCGCAACTCCATGGATCTCTACACACTGTTCTTTATGCCTTCTGTCCACCCCATCACCTCACTTCCAGTTCTACCCCACCCTCTTCTGACCATCTCCTCCACCTTTTCGTGGAAAAGCCTTATCTTTAAGCTAAAACAATGCACTCAAGTCAGAGAAGTACCACTGGATGTTTAAAGTTGCCATGAATTTATACACCATAGATGGAATTAGCTGTCCAGAGGAACCCTTCCCAGGGCTGCTCATGCCTACAGTTTGATCTGAAGATGCCTCACTGGGGAAGTTACAGGGGGAATCTCTCTATTATCAGTAAGCAGCCTCATTAAGTATGATCCATAAAATCCATCCGCAAACTTAAGAAACTTCAATGTGCAAGGAAGTTTTTTTGAAATGGGCTTGGTTGAAGTTCCAATGAAAAATGCAAACAGAAGTGCATCCCCTGAAGTCTAGAAATAAGAAGGTAAAAGCATAAGGATGTGTCACTTTATGTCAAGCAATGTGCAGGGGAAAGAGAATTAGAAAGACTTGACCCACTCTAAATATTCCTTAGCTAGGATGGGTGACAAACTGACTGAATTTGAATAAAATGCTAACATCAGTCCAATATTATCTAACCCACTGCTCATATTCACATTCCATTTGAATATTTAAATATATGAAATATCGGACTCTAAGATGGCGATGGGTCTGGAGCAGCCGTGACAGGAGACAGCGCGATCCTGTGAGCCGT